TTAAATTACAAATGGTCTGATGAAACAATTTAGCATTGGCATTTAACAAATACACTAAGAATAGGTATCCAGCATAAAGAAGAAGACATCAAAAATCAAAATTAAAGGCCCGTGAAAGAATTGAAGAAGTGAAATGTCATACGTGGGAGCTCAATGCTACTAGGCTGAAGTTCAAAGAAATGAGTTAAGCTCATCTGAATTTCATTATTGTCCATATGTTGGCCGGGTGTGACACTTAGACAGAAAGCTGAGGGTTAGTCAATTATGCCAAACGACTTAGACAATTTCCTTAGGGTTATATCTTAGTTGGTCAGGGCGACCTGATATGTCGGGTTGGTCTAAACCTATTTGGAATATGGTTTACACGTGGGATTCAGTGCCAAATCTTATTTTGTGGAAGGTGGAAGCTAGGTTACCTCTTGTACGTCTATAGATATCCTCTCTAGCGTGAGAGGAGGGACAATGAAATCTCATATTCCTCAACACGCTCTAGACATTTTCTCTGTCTCTCTCCCTCTTTCTCTTTCTCTATCTTTCTCTTTCTCTGTTTATCTCACTGTTGTGACTTGTGAACAGGGAAAATGGCATTGATCATACAAATTCAAAGTCTTCTTCTAATTAATCTTTCCAATTAGATTAACGAGAAACACATAGCTTGCGGCGGCACTTGTGCTTGAGGAGATTTATGCAACCATGTCTGCACTCGCGAATGTGTCGTGGTGGTGGAGCATGAGAAAGTAATCATTAATTCTAGACAATGATTTTCAGGAGAAGTGATAGTGTTTTGCAGGGGAATTTACCATAGACTCATCCAGTGGTAATGGCGCACCTTGAAGCACATTCAATTATCGGTGCAAGGCTATTGTTGATTGATATAACATGTCTTATTGCAACTCTTAAAGATGTGATTTAGCAAGTGCCTTCGGTGGATGATGCAACCACTTAAACCAACTTTACAGACTTTATAATAGGTCCCGAGAAATTCGCCACATGGAGGACGCTGATGTAAGCAAACATTAGCCCTGTAAGGCGAACTTGAGATATTGGGTACATAAAGAGCTAATCGTGGATGTCGAAGTGCACAACGTGGTATCTACGGACACCAGATGTCCACATTGTTGACCAGTAAAAGAACTAACCATTATAGGACATGGAGAATTATAACAGATGTCTGTCTTTATCAGGCTTTGTGTTTCTATGCAGTAAAGAGAAAACATATTTTTTAATCAATACGAAGAAGATCAAAATAACGATAACGCGAGAGAGATGAATCAATTTTTTGCTAAACTATAATAATGCGGAAAAAGAGTCATGTTTTTTTCATCGTAGAATTATAATATGGGTAACCCATGTTATTTGAATCAATATAATATGGAGGAGAAGAATCATAGGATTGCTAACGTCTTTTTCATTAATATTTTTGAACTATCGCGAAAAGTAAACTAGAATCATAGGTTTGTACTATTACTATAGGAAGTGTAAGTGGTATACATCATACGAATAAAGTCGGAGAGAAAACTTACACATCTTAAATGAATTTGGTATTATTTGGTCGAGGATTATCATTGTAGTTTCAAATAAAATAATTTCTGAGAGTTTATGTTTTGTTATGACTATTAATGAAATTCAATGCCAAACATTATCATTTGTTAGATTATTTATTAACAATTCGATATTCACTCTAGGTTAACTTTATATTATTGTTTCGCGAGTGAAATAATAAAAGTATGATTAAAGTATCACAAGTATTACTTTTGGGGCAAATTTTGTGGTGGACCTAAGGTCCACCATGGACCTACATATGAACAAAATAAGTATTTTTTTACTACTTAAATAAGCATCTGTATTTTTAATAAAAAAGACATTTTATGTGAAAAGGTTCACAAACAATGATATGCACCCAAGGTGCACCATAGAAGCACTCTTGTTTTAGATGACACTAGTAACCATTGCAATTTCACAAAAAATTTTATACTCCCTCCGTCCCACTCTTCTTGTCCACTTTCATTTTTGCACACCATCCAATGCACTTCTTTAATCCATTTTATCTTGTAATTTGTATATTAAAAAATTATAAAAATTATATATTAATAATCTATATGTTAAGACAAATCACACAAGATCACACATGACTATTTTTAGACTTACACATTGAGAGAATTTGATGAGCCAGAGTGCTTAGATGAACAGTTCCAAAAGTCAAAACTGGACAAAAAGAGTGGGACGGAGGTAGTATATCTCAAAATTTTTCATATAGTTAGGGAAATTTTATGGTGGACTTAAGGTCTACAATGGACTTATATATGAACAAAATAAACATTTTCTTACTACTTAAATAAACATATATTTCTTTAAATAAAAATGATTTTTTTATGTGAGAAGTTCCAAAAAAATGGTATGTACCAAAGTGAACCATAGAAGCACTCATATAGTTATAATTTAAATAAAACTTTGACATGTTTATTTCTAAATTTATATAAGGTAGTGTTTGGCAATTAGTATTTCATTTCAAATCATGCATTTCAATTCTAAAATTTGAAATCTTGAATTTTAGATGACAAGGGGGTGGATTTCAAATTAAGCTTTGATATGAATGACAAGAATTTGACTCAAATCCAAACTTAAAATTTTTAAATTTTCCAAACATTAAATTTGAGCCAAATCTGGATTTGAAATCCAAATCCATGTTCCCAAACATACCATAATAGAATTTTTATTAAGAAATGCCATATGTTATATTATTCCTTTAATTAATTGTTAATGTCTAAGTATTATTTTATTCAATTTTTTAAATAATACTATAGTAAAGAAAATTTACATAATCAAAAAAATATTTCATTTCACCCATGCAATCCCGTGCATTGCGCGGGTTAAAATACTAGTTTTAAGAATATTTGCAAGACAAATGAACTTGTAGTTTAAAATGTTGAGAGGATGAAAGGCCAAGAGACTTTATTTGAGGGGCAAAATCCAAAAAATTGCTGTCGGGTACCCCTAGTTTTGGGATAAGAACTCGCAGGTCCCATTATTTTTCAAAATATACTCCGAGATACCTTAAAATATTCAAAAAATCACTACGGGGTGACAATCCGTCAATCTCTCCGTCAAATCCAATTTGCCGTTATCTTTTTCATTATCATCACCACCATCTTTCCATCTACTTCTTCTTCTTTCGTCTTCTTCTCCAGCCACCCACCCCTCTATTTTTCTTCTTTACTTTTTTTTGTTTTGAAATCTACGCCATCTTATCCCCTTTTTTGCTTCTTCATTTTTCTTTTCTTCTATTACTATCATATTATTATTTGTTATTATTATTATCATTATTTATTATTATTTATTATTATTATTATTATTTAATTCGTAGTTTTACTACTTCAATTGTATTAATAATAATATGTGTTATTTTTTAATAATAAGTGCTATTTTTCTAAATAACAATTAGTGTTATAAATTTGTTATTAAGTATTATTATTATTATTGTTAAAGAATTTATGAGTAGTTTTACTACTCTATTCTTTTTAGAAGAATTGCAGTACTTATTATTATTACTTGACATTAATTATTATTTCTTCTTATTTTATTATTATTGTTAATCATTATGTTTATTTATTATTTATTATTATTAATAATATTATTCAAAATTAATTTTTTTACTTCTTTTTCTTTGAAAAAATAACACTGGTTTTTATTTAGTAAAATAGCACCTATTATTAAAAACATAAAACTTATTATTATTAATACTATTATAAAGAAATAATTAGTAATTTTACTACCGTTACTTTTTATAAAAATAAAATTACTTATTATTAATCATTATTCATTTCTTATAATTTTCTTCTTCTTCTATACTATTATTATTTATTAATTATTATTTTTATTATTATTAAAAATTAGTTAGTTGTTTTATTACTCCTTTTTTAAGAAAAAAACTAATTACTCCCTCCGTTCTTAAAAACTCTTCCTCTTTCAATTTTTTTACTTCCAACAAAACACTTCCACTTTCTATTAAAAACCACTTTTACCCTTACTTTTTCATACCCTACCTATCACATCATACTTTTTCTCTAATACTCAATCCATCACATCTTACTTTTACCCATCACATCAAGGGCAAAATTGGAAGTCAACTACAATTTAACACATCCTTATTTTTACACAAAGTCAAAATAGGAACACTTTTAAAAAACGGAGGGAGTATTATTTAGAAAAAAGCATTTATTATTTAAAACAACACTTACTATTGGCTTTTCAAAAAAAATTATTAGTAGTTTTCACAACTATAGTTTTGCAGCCATCTGATGTTGTCTTCCGCATTAGTCGCGCATTAGTCATCGACAGTCACCATTAATAGTGGTGAATCTAGAAAATGAGAGGAAATGGGGCTATAATAGGACGAGTAAGCATCTTTGGATTTTTCTAAAAATATTATGATGAGACGGTAAAAATAGTGTTGAATTTGATATTGTTATTATGAATTACGACATATAATTTATAACCAAGATGATAAATAATCTTAATTTTATAAATTATACGGAGTACATAACTTTTTTATGCAACTGAAGATTAGAAAAGGTTAATGGGGGCATACAAACAATTTTTCAGGGGCTTTAGTGCTATTTTGCTAAAACATTAGAGGAGTAAAACTACTAGTTAAATTTAATAATAAAAAATAAATAAAGATAATAATAATAATAAATAATAAAATAATATTAATAGAAAAGAAAATGAAGAAGCAAAAAAGGGATGAGATGGCGTAGAATTCAAAACAAAACCAAAAAAAAAAGAAAAGGGGATGGATGGGGGGCTGGAGAAGAAGACGAAATGTGAAGAAGAAGATGGAAAGGTGTGGTGATGATGATGAAAAAGATAACGGCATATTGAGTTTGACGGAGAGGTTGACGGATTGTCACCTCGGAGTGACTTTTTGAATATTTAAGGTACCCCGGAGTATATTTTGAAAAATAATGGGACCTGCAAGTTCTTAACACAAAATTGAGGATACCCAACAGTAATTTTTTTTGGGCAAAATCTCATTTGGCCCAAAGCCAAACCCTGGCAGCTCCGCGCAGCACACCACACCCCATCCATCCTAGAAAGTCGTCTGTTTCTTGAAACTGTGTTGTAGGGTTAAGTGAAACCCTCAAAAACGATTCGCGGGTCTAAGTCTTCCGGCGAGAAGTATTATGGCAGAGATGGATGCTTCAACACCTTACCAAATCGACCTCGGAAACCTAATGGCTTACAACCCACACCACAGCTTTGTCTCTCCTCCCACTTCCAGGTTGCAATTTTTTTTGTTTCTAATGAACACTTCTCCAACGTTATAGGACGTCTTAACTCTTAACTGTTTTGATTTTGTTTTTTACTTTGAGAATAGTCCTGTTTCTGTTCTTGTATTGTGTTACTTCTAGGCTAGGTCTGAAAGATTCAATTTTGTCCATTTGGTTATAGAGAAAGTAATTTTGTCTATTGTATTACTTCTGGATAGGTTGTTGCTGCTAAGTGTTGCTCGTTTGAGTATTATTCTGAGTTTGGTAGGATTAAAGAAGATATGTAGTACATATTAAGGAGTACCACATTATTTTTGGTTAAGTAGTGTTCCTGATGTGATTTCATTTATCTGTTTGTCTGAGCAATTTTCTTCCCAATTACAAATTATATTACAGCTTTACAAAGCAGCATAAGGTAAAAGCAGTAAGAAATTCCATTCTCGTAGAGTTTTGATCACATTATTCGGAATTTGGGGTATTTTCTTTCTTGATGTGTAGTGTGTGCCAGTTATTTACCTGACATAAAAACCCATGTTTCCTTCTGTACATAGTTTTCATCCATCCCATCATGCCCTTGGTGCTGTCTCGGTCCTAAGTTGATGTTGAAATGCTTTCTCATGTTGTTCATCCACTATTATATCATTATTTTCTTAATTCTAATAAACTGACACTCTTGTAGCTGATTAGAGTTTTTCCTGCAATTTATATCCTAGATTTCTTCATTCTGGATCGCTTTTCATCAAGTGTTCTGAATCCAATCTTAATGTTCGAGTTTATGACTTCAAGTTCAATTTTTGCTGTCTTTTGGTGCTTAAATTTTGGAAGCTTACCAAGGAATTTAATGCAGGGAGGAATTAGCACGCGAGTGCTTGCAGGAGGGAACCAGATTAGTACAAGCAGTAGCTGATTCCCTTTTCAACTTACCTTCAACTGAGGACAGAGATGGTCCAATTGTTCAGTTGCCTCCACCAACAACAAGATTGCCAAGAGAGAAGCCTGTATACTGTTTAATCCTGTTTTATTAGACTAATTTTTGAATAAGTTGCTATTTACAAAAATTGTGTGCTGATTCAGTCCTTTGGATAATTTGGACACACGCTTGTACTACTCCTTTCGACTCGAATCAAAAGGTCGTGCATTTGACGGGGCATGGTATTTAAGAAAGATGAAATAATGTGATTGAGAGGCAAATAATATGAACCTTTCCTCTTTAGGGAAAATGTATCATTTTTTGGGGTGAGGGAACATTTTTAAAAGGTGGGTTGAGTTCCTGAATTGTTTAATAGGGGTTAGGTTACATATATCTTGGCCATCCCATCCTGACAAAGTTGGGATTTTACTGTTGTTGTTGAGTTCTTGAGTATTTTATGCTGGTCTTGTTGGATTCGGTTATATCCTGCAGTATTGCTTGATGCATATATTCTGTATAATGGTATTAAACATTTTTTCTCTTGCATTGATTTCAGCTTCCAAAGCCTAAGCCTCCAACAAAATGGGAGCTGTTTGCCAAAAAGAAAGGTTTGTCATCGCAAATGTCAAATGTGTTTCAGGATTGAATTTTAAGATTACAAAGAGCTTAAGTTTGATACTTATCTGTTCCTGCAACACTTTTTTACTACTGACATCACAATTTCCCACAGGCATCAAGAACCACAAGAAAGACAAGAGGGTGTTTGATGAAAATGTTGGTACATGGAAGCGTCGATACGGATATGATCGTGTGAATGATGACAACGATATACCAATCATTGTAGCAAAGGAAACTGATGGTACATATTTTTGTTTTTGCTTGCAGTATATATTTTGTTAGGAATTTTTTTGGTAAATCAATATCGCCTTGGTAACATTAATGGAAGGTGACAGTCTCTTATGAAATGTAGATGTAACCGCAAGTAGTTGTAGTATTTACCAACATGGCTAGTAATGCCGAATGAGATGTAAATATGCTCACTACAACTTTAGTTGAGCACAATTTTAGATCTTCTATATGGTACTTGTGGTGACAACGGATAGAGCTGTTAGTTAAACTATTGACTAATTAATTACTCCCTCCATCTGAATTTAGATGTCCACTTTCCATAATTTCTCAAATTAAAGGAATGAGGGTAAGAGCATGTTCTCTTCAACTTATTCTTATTATTTATCACTTTTTCTTATTGGAATCAGTTCCTATCAGACTAGTTTAGATCAGAAACAATTTTTATATAACTACATTAAGATCAAATTGGACCAGATTAGATCAGAACTTATTTCAATCAGATAAGAATCATTCAGATCAGGTGAAGAGAACAAGCCCTAAAGTAACAAAAAAGTATTTAAAACTAACTTGTCTTTCATTGATAGCAACAGTGGTAGTATGCTCTTTAGGTTTTATGTTTGACAAGTATCAATAATTTTGAGTGTGGTAAGTAAACAATTAATTCTGGACATCCTAAAAACGAAAAGTGAGCAACTGAACCCAGAAAAAAGAGTAGTGGTTAGTAATTTATTTTGAATAATGGCTTAATGCTGTGTTACTCACACTGAAAATCCTAAGATTCGTTGATTTTGCTTTCAAGTGGCTGCTATGACCCCTTATTTCCATAGATTCTTTCTTTTGCTAAGGAACAAATGGTGAGTTATTGATTTGTCATGAATTATTTTATCCTAACCATCAAATTATATTGTTTTCAGAACCTGGAGTAGATCCTTTTGCCAAGAGACGAGAAGAGAAGAAGAAGAGAGTTGATAAGCAAGAGAAGAATAGATATAAAAACTTGAAAGAGGCGCAAAAAGTTGGTGCACTGCCAAGGTCTCACTCTTTTTTTCCCTTGTGATGTTCTATGTGTTTATTTTCTTCTACTCCACATAATAATAAATTTTTGTGTTATAAATTTATTATTGTGACAATTCTGCCCCAAAATCTAATTAAGTTAGTGCAGTGCAGCCATATTCAGCTTGCTGCCACTTCGTTACCAATAACAGGGACACAAACTGCACCAAGAAAAGTTAGCAAAACTGAGTTAGGAAATGTTGCTGGAATGGCTGCAACTGCAACCGCTAGTGGTGGAAAGTTTGATAAGAAGTTGCCAGGAGAAAAAGCCCCTAAACACGAAAAGAAGCATCGCAAGGTATTTTTACTTTGACATACCTATATATTATGTTTTCTTGANCCCCCCCCCCCCCTCTCCACACCCCACTTGTGGGACCTATATGGGGTGTTGTATACCTATGTATTCTTCATTTTAGGTATGTTGCCAAGTTCTCTTGCATTGATTTTATTAACACATCATTTGTTCTTGCCTCTAGTTTCTACCGGTTGCGGAAGGATCAGGAATGGGCTCTCTTGAAAGACAGCAAACTGACAAAGTTCTGAACAAACTAATATCAAAGAACTCACATGAAATACTCAATGTCAAAAAGGTATGCTGCCTTTCTCCTTCATTCTCTCTTTTTTTTCATCATGGCATTGTATCTCATGTTTGGTTCACTTTCCTTTCCTTGGCTTTGTTTGTTTGCATGGGGGATACAGGCGGTGAACGTGTACACTGCAAGAAAGCAGAAGGGGGGAGGGAAAGACCGAGAAGGGAAATCGTCATCGACCCCAAGCAAGTTGAAGCCAAAGAACAAACCTCTCAAGAAAAAAATTGAAAAGAAAGGAGAAACGTCCCGAAAGTCCAAGTGAATCGCATTATCTTAGCAACTTTTTGTTGATTATCATAATATCTTTTCTGATTAAAGCTAAAACAAGAATTTATTTCCATTTTGAATGTCTTTAGTTTGCTGTACCACCTGCAGAATATACCTACCTCAATTGTATTTGTAGTTTGGTTGCTTTTTCATACCTTTTTTTATGTCTTCTGGACATAATGCGTTTGAAGGAATTCTTTAAGATGCAATTGGTAGATATTTGATTTTCAAAAATAAAAAATTGAGGTGCTTATTTTTAGAAGTAATTATAGAGTATTAATACTTGTATTATGTCGGATTTATATTTCTTTTTTTTTAAAAAAAAACTGCTATATATTTGAGATATATCAGATTAAAAAAAATAGTGTCAACACTCAATGTTTTCTTTCAAAGAATGGAAGTATCATTTGAGACTTCCTGTGTCTTTTTTCTGTTATCAACAAAAGCAAATTATTGTGTGTATTTAGTGTTTGAAAATGAGAATTTCTTTCAGTTCTTGAATTTCAAATTCATAATTTGAAATCTCAAAATTCAAATTTCATTCCAACGTTTGGCAAATACATGAAATTCAAAATCTATGATTTGATATCCAAATGTCGTTTGGATAATCGCAAGAATTCAAATTCTAAAATTGTTTGGCAAATACTAGAATTTCATTTGAAATGATTCATCAACAAAATATTGTTAGCATAATCTCAAATAACATGATCAATTGTTTCATAAAGAAAATGCATACTAATTGGGCAAGTCCAAACAAATCTCAAATAACATGAAATAAATACTTAATAAGCCGTAGTTGTTTATAACTCGACCACGCATCCAAACAAAACAATATCTAATCTAGCTTATGACCTTTGAGCAAGTCCTTGAGCTTCTGGATAGGAAGGCTTCCTGTCTCTCGTCTTTTGAAACTTCAGCGATGAAGCTCACCTTGCGCGCTGGAGGAGTAGGTAGATCTTTTCGATGAGACGACGGAAGGAGAAGACGGATCAAAGCGCTGAAGCTCACCTCACGCGACAAAAATCCGCAAGTTTTAATTGGGCTAGGAATACTTCATAATTTTTTATTGGGCTAGGAATTCAAATGATATGAGGTTGGGTATGAATTTGTAATTGGATTGGTTGATAATTAGAAGAATTTCAACAAAATTCATATTCAAATTCTTTAGATTGCCAAACTTGATATTTGGACCAAATCTTGATTTCAAATCCAAATATATATATTTCCAAACAGTCCATAGATTCAATCTCAATTTTTGGTCTTGGCCCGTAACTTAACCATCTCACTCAATTTTTTAGAATTCTACTCTCCTTGATGCTCTCTGTCCGATTGATTTCTTTACAAACATATTTTGATATCCTTGATTAAAATTATTTCAAATTCATTTTATCTTACGGAGTAATATTAATGTAAACTTAAAAATAATATATTTAAAAACTAGTATTAACACAAAAAAATGATGACTACTACTTTTGCTCCAGATTAACTTGTCAAATTTTAACTTTTTACATTCAAAATTAATAAACTTTGACCCTTTAATTAAATAAAAATTATACTCCCTCTGTCTCAAATTAAATTATCTATTTACTATTTATAAAGTCAAACTTTATTCACTTCTTTTCTTATTTCTGTTAGTCACTCGATAAAATAAAATAATCATGTAACCATTAGTTTTGTAGATTTTATGTAGGTTTTAAATATGTAATCTTTATTTTTTAAATCAACACTATTTTTCATATAAAATGATTTAAAAATAATTTCAATCAAACACCGTATCAATATAAATGGGAAGACTAGTTCCACATACAATTAGTAAGTGTAAAAAATCCAACAAGTGTAAAGAATAAATACAAAAACGAGGAAATATTTGTGATATCAGAACTTGTTTCTCTCACCGAGTATGCCGTCACATTTTAAATATCACATGATATCATTCTGTTAATTCACTCATAATCAGCTTCTCAAATCTTTTGGTTAATGTTTTCCCAAATCATTGAAGGAAACAGGCAAACAGACCTAACCAAACCCTTGGGATAAAACTAGTAAGATATGCCACCCTACTCTTTGAATGGGATTTACTACTAAACTTTGTCCATTTTGGATTGTTTCAAAATCAAAACACACTAGTAACTTTGGCAGTAATAGTTCACTTTTGTGTCCCACAAAATCAATGCCAAACACATCTGAATTAAGCAATCCTCTACACAACACTGTTTCTGATTCTAAGAAACAAATTGGGATTGAGAAGACAAGACTTCCAGAAGATTCTGATTCTAAGAAACAAATTGGGATTGAGAAGACAAGACTTCCAGAACATGGAACCAGAGAAGAAACAACATGAATTTTGTTAAACAGAACAACACCTTTGGGAAAAGAAGATGTTTCTTCAAAGAGTAACCATCACTTTCACTTAACAACCCAGCCAACTTAGGATCTAGATGTTCTCTCATATGTTGGGACAAAAAACATCAAAACTCCAAAACCTCAACATGCTACCAATGAATGATAATATTTATACTTAAAGCAAAGAGAACTAGTGAGAGACGAGAGAGTTAAATTAACTTTGCACTTCACCATTGCCGCCACGGTCCTTTTCAGCAGCTGCTGCCATTATTTCATCAAAATTTTCACTCTTCACAAGCACTATCTCAATCTGCACAAGACAAGACATGTGATGTAAAGGAGGTAGGAAAGTTCCCATCCCCATCATTTGCAAATATATGTAGATTTCTGTAAGTAAAAATTATAAACTACGGCTTACTTTGGCTTTTGAAACTGGTCTTCCTCTTGAATCGTCTTTAACATCAACAGTTGATGTCATAATCTCTGATTTCATAAACATGCTTTGGAAAGTTAGCAATTAGGGACAAACTCTCTTGGGGTGCGTGTGGGGGGGGGGATAATGAAATGATATGATACTTTTCAACTAAGTTAGCTCTAATGGTAAACATAAGGACGTTACAGCCAGATGTTGGATGGATTTATTAATAAAATGAATTACATAGTATATTTAAGGGGGGAGGGGTAAATTCTCTAACAATTAGTGAGATTCTTACTCTTTTCAACAGCTAATCCGTTGTTCTTCAGGATTTCAGCGACTGAGACAACCGTTGCAATAGCTAAAAAGACAAATATAAGGAAAATCTTCAAATGATGGATGCAACAAAGGGCAATAATGTGTGTTTGGAATATCTTGAAAATCCCAAGCAACTTATTGCTCCAACACAAATGAAATATAGAGCCTCAACAATCTTTTCGATCACCACATTAATCAGGATATGCATCCTTTTACAGAACAGCTAAAAGCATCAACAAAACAAATGTTCCATTCATGACATCATCAAGAGGTTAGATCCTGTATCTGATACCCAGATCAGACAATAACATAATCATGTCCAGCTCCAAATTAGGACATAACATCCTTTTAAGAAAATCTAACCAAATTAATAAAGTAAATTCTGCACATGGCTATTCCTTTTTCATTTTTCTTGTGTTCATAGATATGGCCTATGTTGGTTACAAAATGCTACATTGCACAACCGAATCAGAAAATATAAGAGAACTCTCTCCATCCCGAAACAATCTTTTAATACTTTATTATTTGAAAATTATGATTAGGAACACTTATTAGGTGTGGTTGAGAATTGGTTGAGGTTTAAGTTGAAAGGAGTGAAAAATAAAATAAAACACACACTTCTTTTCTACAAAGGAAACACAAAGATTATCTTGGAACTGGCCAAGAAGAGGAAAAAAACATATCAATATGTAATAAGCTTATCAGTACATACAAAACTCAACAACATCATACTAGCAATTAATACAAACGCAACAATTTCCAAGAATAGCAGTTCGAGCTCAAATCAACTTCTATTGTTTTGATGTAAAGATTTTTAGAATAAATGCATGAAAACTGAGAATATCTAGAACTCCTGCTCACTGCAGTGCACACTACACATTGGAAAGCCACAATCAGGAACCAGCTAGGAACTAAAAAGTAAAACATTCACCGGAAATTGTAAAATCCAGAAGAACTATAGAGAATCAGGTCAGGGCATACCCATTCCAAGAGCAGAAAGCTCCACCTCATTGTACTGCTGCATATACCTCTGCACAGAGAGACAAATCCCAAGTACCGATTATACACACCTTAGCAAAAACACATCCATCCACACTAACACTATTGCACATTCCTGAGCATAGACGTTCAGATCCAGGAAACAACTCAAATTCAAAGAACTTCATATACATGAATTCGCGGACATGAGTATGAATCAAAGCGGGAGCTGGATGAGGTGTGATGGATTATACCTTGGCGAGATTGACATAGAAGAATAAGGGCTTCTTGGTGCTGGAGACCTGAATGCGGTTCCTCTTCTGAGATTCACCGGCGTTATTACTGATGGTGCCGCCTCGTTCCGTTGTCTCCTCCATTGATGGTTCTTGCTTGATCTGTTGCCAAAATTAAAACGCCCTGTTTCTAAACCTAGAACCAGAAAATTCTTAGACAATATTTTAAGACGGACACTATTAAACACAGTATTGATTACCGGATCGATTTCTGTTAAGACTATCGATGAAGGCTAGGAGCTTTTGGTAGGGCGACTATGCGTGCGTAATGGCCGGGTCTGGTATTTTAACCTAATGGAGTATATATCACAAAAAATCTAGTTAAAATAAGAATAAGTAATCCTTTATATATTATATTTGAGAGTTTAACTCCCAGAATTTTGATATTTGTCATGCTGACGGGGATTTTTTTTGACATTTCATAAGCCATGTCATCATATTGGACTTACTCAATATTTCAAACGAGTTGGATAATGATTCATTACTTTGGGCTTCTTTTATTTGGGCTACTCTGTGTGGAATTCATCCGCAAGTCTGAATGAAAGCGAGACATCAGCGGCACTTTCCTTCGATTGCACCTCCCTGCGATATTCATCTTCGAATGGCTTCACCGCGAGATTTCAGAGAATATGTGATTGGAATTAATCTCTTTCCTTCTTCACGGTCCTTCTTCACGGAGATTCCAACCATCGGTACCAATTAAGAATATGTAATTTTCCTTTTTCTTAAAAAATCATAATTGTTTTTGGAATGATTGGCCTTCTTTCCTTCTTATGATGATTAGTCTCTGCGAAATTTGTTCTTCTTTCGAATTTTCCGGTTCAAATCTCTGGATTTTCTACCCTTATTGCTGTAAGTTTCCTTCTTGCGATTTATATTAGGTCATATATAAATCAAATTTTAAGTAAGCCATTTTATCAATCTATTTTTTCATTGTAAGCCACGTTCATACCTAAAACATCTGATTAATTGACATGTCTTCCAAAC